AATGCAGTAATCAATTAAAAGTGACAGTTAATGCTGTATAACTCGAAGTCTTGAGGCAAAAACACTTTTCAAAATGGTGAAATTAGTAAAAAAGATTTTGCACAAAGAATACAGAAGAAAGGACTCACCGACGGATGCAAAGACAAATCTTGATAACTTTATGAAGAGATGAAATTAGATACATGAAATCAGCAACGTGAATACCAAAACGCAACACGTGATATTAATGGTTATAAGGTTTAAATAAATAAATTGAGATAGGTATATATGGGGGTTTATAAAGATTAATCGATTATACCTTTTGCCTTTAAATAATCAGCCTAACCTGCTCCGCTGGTGAATGGAGCAAATGGACGCCTTCGTAAGTCCACATTTTTCTGCAAATTACACAGCTTGGCCTAGGCATTATTAATTTTTTAATCACAAACAAATTGTATAGTATTTTTCCACAAAAATTCAAACAAAAATTTTAGAAAAAACTAATTTTCCACAAAAGTTCAAATGGAAAATTTTAGAAAAAAAAACAATGTTGCAAGCAAATAATAAATGGCCAAATTGCCCCCCAAAATATATGTAAATACTTCCAAAGAAGCAACAAATATAACGTTCCACGACTAAAGGCAACATTGTGAAATATAAGGCAGCCGAATGTCAGAAAATGAAAAGAGAATGCTGCCTTATTACTTCACCTGTTTATTGCGTCATGACTCCATGATACAAATATTTAAAGGTAACACCGCTCGCTCAATTCGTCGGCCATCATTTATTTTTTGAAGTTTGTCTACTTTATGAAATTGAAATTTTCAGAGCAACTCAAATGCCAAATAAAAGTAAAACAAATAGATGAAAATATTCATATTTTCTTTGAGACCGAAAATTCGACTGTATTTGTGAGATTGAAAATTTGAAAACATTTTTGTTATACATGATCAAAATGTATTCAACACAGTGTGATTGATTTTGACATTCCTCTCATAGGAAACAGGCTATAATGTCAAATTGAAATGAATTGTTAACCCATTTGAAATTTTTTTTTTTCAAATTTGAATTTGTTTTAAAAAAATGTACACAAAAATTTTTCAAGCAACAAATTTTCTTAATAAACGTGAAATTGTTAAGAGATAAACCGCCGAGGAGAGCAAGTAAGCACATTTAAAGTTTGGTAATAAGTAAATACGTTCAACTTTGCTTAAATATTTAATGTAAGAAAACCAAGATGAAACGGAGCAAAACTTTTGAACGGTGCGCTGTATGCAATAGAAGTCAGGACACGAAAATAGTGCGATGTTTTAAACCACCTAGTTGCGAGTTAAGACGGCAGCGATGTAGTGTTGTAATACGTGATTCATCTCGCTTTGTGAAAACCACTTCAAGGAAAGTGATTTCATTTGTTGTCCGTGCGAGTCAAGCACTTTCAAACGAGCTCGTTTATACCCAAACTATTTCGCATGAAAAAAAATTTAATTTCAAATTGGTAAAGTTAAGCTCTCATATAAAATTGGAAACAAATGTAAAATCATACTTTTATAAGTGTCGAATAATGTTAAGGATAAAAAATTTAAATACAAAAATAAACGCACAAAAGCATAAAACTTGGGCAATTAAAAACAAGAAAATTGCTAAACGATTTTATAAACAATTTGTTTTATTTTATTGACAAAATATATATATTCCAGGTAATATAAGTAAAACAAAACTATAATCAAAATAAAAGCCTTGGGTATCAGTGCTGACAAGATACATGCATCACTAAGGGTTAATTCGTTTGTTTATACTTTTTTACATTATAGTACCTTAAAAGAGAGCCGCACTGAGTTGTCAATCACACCTTGTTTAATACACCTTGTACATGATCAAGGTGTATTAAACAAGGTGTGATTGACAATTCAGTGTGACTCTCTTTTAAGGTACTATTATGTCAAAAAGTATAAACAAACGAACTAACCCTTAGCTCTTCCATACATGCTTGCATGGTTTTAATTATTTCGGTAAGAAGAAATATTTCTGTTCTCAACGTGCATTCTAAAGAGTCGCCTGTTTGAGTTTGGACATCAACAAATAATGTATCCTGATCGCGTTCTAAATCCTCACTTGTTTCAGTTATTTCGTATGGCATTGGGACTGCGCCTGGGTATAAACGAGCTCGTTTGAAAGTGCTTCATTCGGACGGACAACTAATGAAATTGCTTTCCTTGAAGTGGTTTTCACAAACGCGAGATGAATCACGTAGAACAACACCGCAGTTTCTTCCCATCGCTGCCGTCTTAATTCGCAACTAGGTGGTTTAAAACATCGCACTATTTTCGTGTCCTGACTTTTATTGCATACAGCGCACCGTTCAAACGTTTTGCTCCGTTTCGTCTTGGTTTCCTTACATTAAATATTTAAGAAAAGTCGAACGTATTTACTTATTACCCAACTTTAAATGTACTTACTTGCTCTCCTCGGCGGTTTATCTCTTAACAATTTCACGTTTATTAAGAAAATTTGTTGCTTGAAAAATTTGTGGGTAACTTTTTTTTAAACAAATTCAAATTAAAAAAAAAAAAAATATTTCAAATGGGTTAAGAATTCATTTCAGTTTGACATTATAACCTGTTTCTTATGAGAGCAATGTCAAAATCAATCACACTTTGTTGAATACATTTTGTACATGATAAAAACATAACAAGGTAAAACCACTGAGAGGCAGCAGTCTGACGGTTGCCAACAATATAATTTTAAAATTCAAAACTCAAACTCACACACACATTCTCATTTTCAATTTCAAACAACAACAATTGTGAACAATTTAATTTTTTTATTTTCAATATTATATATCATTTTAAAATGTTGGAAAACTTCAGAAAAAAATCATGGCCGACGAATTGAGAGAAGCAGTCTGACATTTGCCAGCAATATAATTTTAAAATTCGAACTCATGATCCAACTACATAAGATCTGACAAAATTAAGCAAAAGAAAAAAGTAATTTTCTGGCTGACGTTTGTAATTTCGGCGCCATGTTATTTTCTGTGAAAAGTAAACAAAGGATATGGAGACAAAGCATAAAGAAAAAATGCAAGCAATGTTGTGAACATGTTTGTGCTAACCAAATTATTATTTTTGTACGTGTTTTTGCATCCAATCACCGCGCACTTAATTTTAATTACATTTGCACAAAAAATCACTTAAAAATCACTGAAATAAACCACCGACAAAATACACATAAAGAAAGAAGCAAAACAGAAATAGCAAACTTCAAAATTACGAACGTCACACACTTTTTTCTCAATTGCTATTACAAATGGCTGCTTCTCAACCGGTCAGATCTGTTCTAATTGGTTCATGATTCGAACTCAAGCTCACACACACATTCTCATTTTTTAACTCAAACAATAACAATTGTGAACAATTTCATATTTTTATTTTAATCTTTATATGATTTTAAAATGTTTGCAAACGTCAGAAAAAAATCATGGCCGACGAATTGAGAGAATGATTTTACCTTCTATTGTTTTTATCATGGTTTTTATCATGTTTGTTATATTAGCAAACTTCTAAAATGTTCAGACCGCCTCTCAGCGGTTTTGCCTTCAAATATTTGTATCATGTTGTAACTCTACCAATTTACAGATAATAGACAACGCTGCGTCTTCTATTTTGAATTTTGAGTTTGATTCTATAAGCTTATTTATGCGAGCGGACAGCCTTCGTAAACTCGTGGCCGTGGCCAAAGTTGGTGCAGATTATTTCACCTGCTGTTGTTGGCTGCTCTGGTCACCTCAACTTGTGAAGACCGGAATCGTTGTGACTACGATCTCAGATCACTTTTTAGCACACTAGTCTGCTTCCTCATTTCCCGGAATACCTATGTGTCCCGGACACAGCACATATTGATTATGTGTTTTTGAAGAGCTTGTTGTAGGGATCTTCGTCATTTCTTAATGCATATCAAGTTAGATATAGCCGACCCTAAGGCAGCTTGACTGTTAACAACGAAAGCAAGTTTAGATGGAGCTAGGTCAATCCTGCTTACCAGCTTTTTCGCCATGCCAATTCCGTATATCTCTGCCTGGAAAACGCTGCAGTAATCTGTGAGTCTACAGGATTTTCTCAGAATAATAATTTCTGAGAGAAGCCGCCAGAACCTGTTCGAATGTCAGCGATTTCGTCATCGTTTAGACAATATTAAACTCCCAGTCACTTCTGTCGGGAAAATGGATTTCCGTAACCTGATAATCGCAACTACTGTACTCCAGCCCTATTCCTTAGAGGATGGTGGCATTATACGGCTAAGTTTCTCGCAGCCTTTTAAACGCCCTAAGGCGTATTGCCCTTTTAACTTCCGCATTTTTATCGTACCTAAATAGTATACGTCGAATGACCAGGAGTGTCCACAGTGCCGCCTGAGCCGTTGAGTAGATAAGCATGCTTGTCGTTTCACCTTTTGCAGGTTGAAGTAAGATTTGGTGTCAAAACCTTACCTCTTTTGACAATGTAAGATTTGGGCCATTGAGTGACGGAGCTCGAAATTTGCATACTTGTTTGGTGCACACAATGAATTCGATTTTTGAGGTGTGATCCCATAGACCGTTCCTCTCTGTCAGGTCGTTAATTGTACTAACATTCGTGAAAAATCCGGAGGGTTAACCTTTTTAACCTTTTCTAAATACCATTCATTTTGACTGGTTTTGGTAGAAATATGTATACTTAAATTACTTTGAAATATGGTGTTAACTAGAGTTTACAGCCGAATAATTGACTTTCGTCTCCCGTTAGTGTAAGTTATTGTACGTATTCTTTGTTCGACCATCTGTATCTTATTGCATCCACTGCACTGTTGTTTCAATCTGCTAAATGCAATTTTAAAAGTGCCCGATTTATGGCCCACCCGATATTCTCATGAAAAAATTTACTATTGCGAATGATTGTCTATTGATTTGCTGTTATAACAAACAACGACAGAAAGCACAAGATACCTTTTCTAAAACACATACTCTAATCATTACTTTCATTTACCTGATACTGCTTCCAAGCATTTTATGAATATTTCCATATTACGCTCACATGTTGCTTCATTTAAGTAGAAATATGTCCTAGCACTGCTCACTTTGTAACGACGATCCGCGAATGACTTGTCCACGTGGTATTGTGGTATCGCACCATCATCTTTGATGTCACCTACGCTAGAAACTGAAGATCTGAAAAAAATCAATAAAATTAAGAAATATCAATAAAAACTTCCTGGAATCATAATAGTCACTCACTCAACTTCACGCTTCTCAGCCTCCTCCTGGGAGAGATCTTCCTCTACGGAATAATCAAGAATTGGTTTAACGCCAAAGGAACGTAGTCTGGAAATTTATAAAAATATGTCAAATATGTTTGTATGTAATTATTTTAGTCACATAAGATGTAATGGTTTGTTACATATTCTCATTTGCAATCAATGAAATTACCAATAAATCACTTTTTGTGCGCAAATTACTCTTTGTGGCATGCGAATGGATTAGATTGAGAATGGCATAGTACTTTTCACTTTCTATAGCACAAACATATGTTTAAACATACATATATGTATGTTCATACGATTGTGTAATTTAAAGGTAATAATGACCAACAGCGACTGGGGGGAGGGGTTAAGAAAACGAACAAATGTACTAGTAAATAGATGCCTTTTAATAATGGATGGTCTTATTATTTTAATTTCAACCATTTGTATTTGGGTACATACACATATGTACAAACATCTGTACTATTATGCATACGTGCGGTTAGAGAATTCAATAATTACACAGTTTATGATAATATGGCTTAGTAAATTTAAATCTCTCGACAGTTCGAAGTAAATAGTATTCATATACGTGTATAAACTTAGCGAAACAACATGAAGAAAAAATGTCGCATATACCCATGAATTTCCCGTTTTTATTATTACCTTCCTTTTATTAGCTCGGGATGTAACTATGTAATATTGATGCGCCTAAAAGATGCAGCGATTTCTATTCACAAGTTACATACCTGATGACAATACGAATGGCAATTATAATAGGGAGGTTTTAGTTTCTTAAACTATAATTTTATTTCGCTGTTAATTAGTTGTGGAAAAAATACTTTTGTCGTTCTTGTATTTCTTTAGATATAAGGTGTTTTGCTAACTTTATATAAAGTTAGCGAAGCATCCCTTCAACTCAAAGATAAAAGACTAGTTTTATATCCAAACTTGCCGTTTTTTTGCCGTTCCAAGATTACTTTTGAAAAAAATATTTTTTTTTAATAAAAAAAAAATTTTGGCAAATTTTCAATAATTTTTAGAAGAAAAGAATAATAATACAACTAATTTTTAAGCAAAAAAAACTACTTCAATTCTCATATAAAAATTTAAGATTATCGTTAACTTCTTCATGATCCAATGATCCGATTTAAACCAAATTAGGATGGGACCACCTGTGAGGTAACACTTTTCCTTTAAAAAAATAACACAGGTCAACCACGTTTTGTTCTAGGAAAGTGTAGGGTCATTTTCGAAGTAATTTTTTGCGTAGAATCCGAATCCGGGGTTTAAATTGCTCTATCACGTCAGGATTTTGAGATATCCTAACCTAAAAGTGCAAAAACGCAGTTTTTGCCCATTTTTGAGGTTATGTAGCTACGCAGATTTTGCTCTTCATAAAAAAGTAAACGTGGTATTTTAAAGTATAAGTCTTCCTCTTTTAAATGCCGTTGAGTTTGCTTAAATATCTTTATTTTTCACTGAGATATCGCATTTTGAATTTTCCATGTTTGTGAATTTTTCGATATTCGAAAATCCATTGGGATAACATGAGACGTGATACGGTCGATTACATTCACAAACATGGAGACTTCAAAATGCGATATCTCAGTGAAAAATTAAGATATTTGAGCAAACTCAACGGCATTTAAAAGAGGAAGACTTATACTTTAAAATACCACGTCTACTTTTTTATGAAGAGCAAAATCTTTGTAGCTACATAACCTCAAAAATGGGCAAAAACAGCGGTTTTTGCACTTTTAGGTTAGGATATCTCAAAGTCCTGACGTGATAGAGCAATTTAAACCCCGGATTCGGATTCTACGCAAAAAATTACTTCGGAAATGACACTACACTTTTATAGAACATTCCGAACCCATTTTTTTGCAGACCTGTGTAATTATAGAAATCGGTTAACGTGGTCCAAAGTTATGCGGTAACATACAAAAAAAAAAATATATATATATTCCGACGAATTGATAACCTTTTCCTTTTTGCAAAGTCGGTTAAGAATAGGAAAACAAAACCGGTTGCTTTATGTACCTCTTTGAAATCTAAACAAACAATAATCAGCCTATTTAAAAGTCAAAAAATTAAGCAGCATCCTTATCAAGTTCAGCAATGAGTTCAAGATTCATGGAAAATTGCTATTTAATTTTTATCATCCCTTCGCCATCTGCATAATCTTGGCCCCAAATAACAATCACCTATTACCTGAGTAAATAACAATAAAAAAATATTTTTTTTCCAATTAAAAAAAGAACGAAACATTCAAAACCGGTTTTTAAACGAGCCACATAGAAACTTATGCAACAAATAAATTTATTGCTTTGATTATTTTTGATGAATTACTAAACCGCTTTCCAAGTCGTTAAAATTATTTTAAAAATATGGTAGTTTAAACAAAAAAAATGATCGAAAAAATCAAAAATGCAATTATGCAACAGAAAAATGTATTGTTTCTATTATTTTTAACTAATTTTTAAGCCGCTGTCCAAGTCCCTAAGATTATTTTAAAAATAAGTTAGTTTAAACAAAAAAATTAGACTACAAAATCAAAAATGCTTTCAATTCACAAAACGAGGCAACCGGCAAATTATGCAACTAAAAAAATAATTATTTTTAATATTTTTATAGAATTTTTAAACCGCTTTCCAAGTCCCTAAATTTTATTTAAAATAAGTCTGTTTAAACAAAAAACATTAAACGACAAAATCAAAAACTGTTTTAATGCACAAAACAAGCCAAACAGCAAATTATGCAACAAAAAAATTTATTCTTTTTATTATTTGTATCCAGTTTTTAAACCGCTTTCCGAATCCCTAAATTTGTTTAAATAAGGCGGTTTAAACAAAAAAACTTTTACAACAAAATCAAAAACAGTTTGAATGCACAAAACGAGCCAAACGGCAAATTACCAACAAAAAAATTAATTGTTTTTATTATTTTTAACAAATTTTTTAACCGCTTTCCAAGTCCCTAATTTTTTTTAATAAAGCGGTTTAAACAAAAAAAAAATTTACGACAAAATCGAAAACAGTTTTAATGCACAAAACAAGCCAAACGGCAAATTATGCGACAAAAAAACTAATTGTTTTTATTATGTTTAACCAATTTTTAAACCGCTTTCCAAGTCCCTAAATTTTTTTTCAAATAAGGCTATTTAATAAAAAAAAAAAAAATTTAACGACAAAATCAAAAAGTTTTAGTGCACAAAATAAGCCAAACGGCAATTATGCTAAAAAAAAATATTGTTTTTTATCATTTTTAACCAATTTTTAAATCGGTTTTTTGTTTAAACAGCCTTTTTTTAATTTAGGGACTAGGAAAGCGGTTTAAAAATTGGTTAAAAACAATTAACTTTTTTGTTGCATAATTTACCGTTTGGCTTGTTTTGTGCATTAAAACTCTTTTTGATTTTGTCATTTAATACAGCCTTATTTAAAAAAAATTTAGAGACTTGGACAGCGGTTTAAAAATTGGTTCAAAATAATAAAAATAATAAATTTTTTAGTTGCATAATTTGCTGTTTGCCTCGTTTTGTGAATTGAAAGCATTTTTGACTTTGCCGTCATGTTTTTTTTTTGTGTTTAAATTAACTTATTTTTAAAATAATTTTAGGGACTTGGAAAGCGGCTTAAAATTAAGTTAAAAATAATAAAAACAATAAATTTTTCTGTTGCATACTTGCATTTTTGATTTTGTCGTTTAATTCTTTTGTTTAAACTACCTTATTTTTTAAATAATTTTAGCAACCTGGAAAGCGGTTTAGTAATTAATTAAAAATAATAAAAGCAATAAATTTGTTTGTTGTATAATTTTCTATGTGGCTCGTTTAAAAACGGGTTTTGAATTTTTCTTTCTTTTTAAATTGGAAAAAAAATTCTTTTTTATTCCAAGAGGCTAAGAATTGCTCCAGTTGTTATTTACTTAAGTAATAGGTAATTTTTCCTTTTTCGTTGTTGTTGTTTCCGACAGGGTGGGTGTATGATGTATTATGGAACGAATTTCCGTCATCCCTTGTCAAATTTGGTTTGGAGACAAACCAGTTTCGGCGTTGTGCCTTCTTCAGTGTCATTTTTCGTTCTGCATAATTTTTGTTGGTTGCTCGTATTTATACTCCTTGTTATCTACCTCTTTCTTTTGTTAGGTACGTCTTTTTAGTTTTGCAGTGTTTGCGTTACTCAATAGGTATATTAATTGTTATGGCTCGTTTTTGACGGCAGGTGGAAGTCCGCGATTTTTACCCCCTTTGTTTTTGCAGTTGGTGTATTCCCTTCCATATCTGTCCTTAATATTTTGTTGTTGTCATTCTTATTCTTGTACAGTAGTTTTAGAGGTTCAAACAGTACGTCCGATGCAGTATTTATTTGCTCATTTATTATTTGTTCTTTGAAGGTCTTCTGTTTATATATTTCCATATTTTCTAATATATTC